TGGTATGGTATGAATAAAAAAGTATTTTTTTATTCATAATATGAAAATGGAATATATATTCCATTTATTATTATATTTTATTATATTCCATTTTCATATTATGAATAAAAAAATACTTTTTTATAAATTTGAATACTTTTTTCAATCGTTTTTTCAATCCTTCTACTGACCTAATCCAGTCGTCCGATCCGCCCTCTTCCTATTCTTCGATTATTTCCTGCAACATAATTAATTTTTGTTATTGTCAAATAGTTTTATTCCACGCACGCACGCACGCACGCACCATTCTTCACCTTTTTAAAAATTTAATATTATTCCATCATCAAATACAATCGCAGATCTGCACTCGTTCATACCTCTAGATGGTATATGAATCATTGCTGGGTCGATTGGTACATTACCTTAATTCTCACCGCAGACGTAGCGGCAGTGCTACGTACCGACATACCGCGATACTCCGACGTGAGATCATCGTCGTTTTCCCACTGATGGAGCTGTATGCCGCATTCGAAGTATGTATTCGACGAAATTGTTTTGTACCAGATAATAAAATCCTGTAGCCATAACCGACATTCCAACTATCAGAATCTCTGTGTAGGAAAATAATAGAAATAAGAAATCATTCGAATTAATAAAAGAAAAAGCTGTTTGGAAATAGTCTATTTCGTTACCTTTCAATTTATTTATCTATATTTAAAATACGCGAACTTCACTCAGACAGCAATGATACGTTTTTTTATTTTCTGCTACGATGATTGCGTCCAAATGATGTAGTCTGCATGGCACGTTACATTTTTTATAGTCCGGACTGGTGATTGATGAGTCATACTTGGAGCAGCCAAGATTTTCTAAATTAACCCTTTGCACCCGAACGGCGCCGCTGCGGCGCGGCGCTCGGCCGATTTGAAGCGTCCACTCGAGCGGCGCTGCCGCGGCGCCTCGGAGGTTTGGTACGTCCACTCGAGCGGCGCTGCCACAGCGCCTGGGAGGTTTGATGCGTCCAGTCGAAGTACGCTGTGCCGACGCTACGGCGTTTTGGAACTCGATCGAAGTACTTTTGTAAATCTTAGCTTGGTTTAGTTAGTCTCAACATAGCATTCGCTTGAAACAGTTTTGGCAGTGAGTATAGCAGTTGAAAAGTTTTCGAGCCCTAAAAACATGGATCAAGATCAGATCAGCTCAAGTTCGGACGAATTCGATTTTGCGACTTTGAACGAGGAAATTGCATTGATTTCCAACGAATTACGCCACGAAACGAACGAATCCAGCGGAGAAGATAGTGGGAAAGTAAGAGGTGTGAAACGACGAAAAATTAGGACTATAGATAGCGAAAGTGAAACCGAAAGTGAAGATGCGGAAGATGCGAGCAGCTCAGAGTGGGTACTTTGTAGAGAATACGAAGAAGTGCCGCCAAGTGTACAATTTATACCTGGCCAAAACCTCACAGCATCGCGCATAGCTTCCGATATAAAAGAACCAATCGATTTTTTTAAACTGTTTTTCACCGATGAACTCGTAGAAAAGATAATTCGTGAAACGAATAACTATGCAAAAAAGAAATTGGAAGCGAAGACGCTATCCACAAATTCGATATGGCGAAGTTGGCGTGACGTGGAGAACGTAGAATTCTGGGCATTTATTGCTGTTGTAATCAATATGGGTACAATGCCGTTGGCCAATTTGCAAGAATATTGGTCGAGGAATAACGTCAGCTATATCCCTTTCTATTCAGAAACATTTACAAGAGATAGATTCAGTCAAATATTCTGGATGCTTCGTCTGGCAACCATTCCAACACGCAGTGCGAATCCGAGAACACGCCTGCAACGAGTAAGTTGCTTTCTAGACTACATCAATTCAAAATTCTTGGATTATTTTATGCCGGGCGAGCAAATATGTGTGGACGAGTCGACGGTAAAATTCAAGAGCCGGACTTCGTTCGTCGCATACGATCCGAAGAAACCGAGAAAATGGGGTATCAGAGTCTATACTCTAGCTGACTCAAACACTGGCTACATTTGTTGCATTTTACCATATTACGGATCACTCACGACCGAGCTCTTGGCCAGACCTGATTTACCTGTTTCCTCAAGAATTCCGATACACCTATATAAAATGTTGTTGGAGAAAATTCCAGGTGCCCAGGGACACCATATGTACACGGGCCGCAACTACACTAGTTACGTCTTAGCTCAAGAACTAGCCAAACTGAAATGCCATATTACCGGAACGATCCTAGCTAGCAGGAAAGAATTGCCCAGTGAAATAAAAAAGCTAAAATTTTCAAAAAAATCCACGGTAGCATATCGACGAGGCGACACCTTAGTTTTAGGGTGGAAGGATAAGAAGATCGTCACTTGTTTGACTACGAGGGGTGACACAGGAATGAAGACCGTGAAAAGGATTGCACGAGGTGGCGTGGATATAATGATCAAGAAACCTAACGTTATATTAAATTATTTAAAATATATGGGCGGTGTTGATCGGGCGGATCAATATGTATCGAAATATTGTTTTCTGCAGAAATCGCTGAAATGGTGGCGTAAGCTTTTTTTGGGGGGCATGGAAACTTGCCTGATCAATTCCTACATACTTTATAAACTAGAAAGAAATAAAAAAGGGGAAAAGCCACACGATCATTTGCGCTTTCTAAAAACGCTTGTCGAGCAATTAAGAGGACCATATCGCCAGCATCGTGAGCAAGCGTCGACGTCGCACACCGATGAACCCCGACTAAATGGGAAGCTTCATATAGTGCTAAAAGGGCCAAAAAGGGACTGCAAGGTTTGCTCTGACCGTAGCAAGCCTGGCGGTAGACGAGAAGTAGCGTATTATTGTGATACGTGTCCAAATAAACCTAGGATGCACCTTGGAGATTGTTTCACTAAATATCACACGAAAACTAATTACAGAATATAATATTTAACAGATTTTGTTGTATTCGATATAAAAATGAATAAATTGGTAAAATTTTATTATTTGTATACGTTTGTTTGACTATAAAATTATTTTAAAGTACCTGCAAAATGCTTCCCTAATATGTATAGCCGAAATCGTCTCGAGTTACCGGTTCGCGTGAGCGAAAAAGGCCTGCAAAGAGTTTAATACTGTCTAAAATATCCTTTTCTACGTGCCCTTCTTCATAAGCGATGACCGAGGCCGAGTAGTCGCGAACAAAATTCCGAATAATTTTAATGATATCCCTCTGCCGATAACTTACGCCTCTAAAATTTATGGATGAGATTCCATGTACACATTTTGAAACGTAACGTACAGTTTTTCTGTTACTCGCCGATAAATCGTGGAATCGCCTGTCCAATTTAAATTCTACTAACTTGCAAACTCCATTACAAACATTTACAATGGCCATCTCTTTACAGTAAAATTTTCTGTTAATCATGAAGCTATCCATATACAAAATACAATCGATCTGAACTATTTTAATTCTAATAATTCTTCATTGCAGTTTCGAAGTTTATGATTTTTCGAGCCGTCTTCTTTCCGGCAAGGAAGTCATTTCTGCACTTTCGAACAATGCACACCTTCATCGGCAGCTTTTTTTATAACAGGGTCGCTAGCACGCACCGCTTCGGTCACCCGTCCAGGGTTTCTTGCTACCCGCGGTGTTCCGTCACGTAGAACCTCCCGCAGACCTCTCTCGTGAAGGGTTTATGGCACGGACCAGCGTGGGTCATCTGAGGAGACGGAGACCTTTTTTTGGCAGCTGCCGAACATCCGGGCAGTGTCTCCGTCTTTTCTAATGATCGCGACGTGTCGTAAATCCAAAAGGCCCGAAAAAACCTCCCGCAATAACACTTGAGATTTTTGAACGCGTCTTGGGAAAGTTAGTCCCAACCGTCGCGGGGATGACATCTCAAGGCCCGGAGGACCTCCCCAACCACGCAATCACGTGTCGCACCCCTCTTCAAGACAAGGCCCGTGCAGGACGGTACGAGAGGGTGGTGACGAAACGTTCGGAGGACGCTGATTGGGAAATCGTAATTTTCGAGAAAACCAATCAGCGCATCCAGGCATGGAGGTGGAGGTTCCTTCAAGAATCTCAAGTGGGGAAAAGGGTATAAAAAACGCGAGCAGACGAGGCGAGTAGTAGTGGTTCAAGAGTGGTTCGGTAGTTTTCAAGCAACAAAAAGATACATTCTCGATACGGAGTCTCACCCGTGCGTCGAACAGTCTCAATCGTTCGGAGACTCACTCGTCGCAACCGGAGACTCATTCGACTCGGGAATTCAATCGCTCATTCATTCAAAATCGGTCAATCGGACCGATAACCATTACAAAACCGACGCGTCTTCAAACAAGTGAAGCCCGGGCCTTACAACCCCGGTAGGGTTGACGTTCGCTCCCCGCGCGTCAAAAAGGCGTCGTAAAAGCACGGCGCTACACGCGGTACTGCGTGCTACGTCACTTTTACATCCCCTTCCATCGCGTCACTGGCCAATCAATTTCTAGTCTTCTGTCCACGAAACAGTATAAAAACTCGAAACCGATTCTTCTTTAGGTCAGTTGTCACTTGTCAGTTCATCGTCATTTAGTCTTTAATCATTCGTCGGTCATCGATCAGTCAGTATCAGTTCAACTCAATTCATTTTAAGCCAAGTACAATTAGTCACCCCAGTGTTAAAACCATTCTTCATCAACCTATCATCCGTATCACTCGAAAGAGTCATAGGGAATCGCGCAAACTCGGTGTCGTACAAATTTGAATCGGAGACTTACGACCTCCGTAGATCTAACAGTTTCACTGTTCGATCTCACCGGGAAAACGTGAAAAAACAGACACCCTTAGCATCGACGTAGCAATAAATTACATAGGCGTAGGACTAGCACAGGGAAATCCACAGCAATCCGAATTTTGGAATTTCCGGGAGAAATTACTGTAATAGGAAGGGATCATTTCTGTCAATAAAGGAAACGCGTTTACCCTACTTCTGCGAGAACGTTAGAATAGGTGGATTGATGGGGATCGGTCCTACACTTTGCTCAGCGGACTTCTTCTGAGCAAGGCATAGTATATGGTTTCGTTTATTAATCCTAAAATGTTATTCTTTCTCATTGCTATGGAATAATTACAAGATTTCGCTAAAATATCACATGGCTTCATGGAAATTTCGGGCGCAGTAGTATTAGCTACAGTTTTTCGCGATTATTTCGAAAACTGAAAAAAGAGAAAGATGTTTTGCAAAGGAATAAGTTGTTAAAAATGTCAGACTGTATAACATATTCAAATTATACCAAAATCAGAGTGAAGGACTCTGTTGTAAATATTTTGATAATATTTTTGGAATACTGTTTTAATAAATTTACATGCCTGCATAATACCTGACATTCGAAACACTCTTGATTTTAAGTTTAAGGAGATTTAGAACTACTTAGTTGTTAGGGATTCCCCATCTGGGCTTCACGGCGGGGGCCAGGCACATAGGTCCTTAATGGCTAGGGGGGTGGGCCTGTCACCCCGTGGCGGAAACGTTAGTTTTCGACCCTGGTAAAACTCATGGGCCCCATCGACAGTTTTATGGTGGTCCTCCGTAAAGGACTTATCCCTGATTTACGACCAGGCCGTTAGCGGAGTTGGGACTTGGACCACTCGGCGTGATTGCTTCCAGATGGGGTAGATTTCCAAATTTTCCCTTGAGGAGGAAACTCATCTGGAGGCGTTCGCAGTACCCTTTCCAAAGGTCCCAACCATCTTCATTCCAACCAATTAGCGTTCGGTTTTTGAGCCTGCCGTGATTGGGCAGTTTTTCCTCGCCGCCCACCCTTAAGTAAAGGTAGGGATAACCGAGGTGACCTCGTGGATGCCACACGGTTATTCGACAGTCCTGATCTGTCCATCCACCCTGATCCATCTTGAGTCGTCAGTGGATACAGAGGTCTCCCGGGAAGCCAATTGCTGCAGCGCCCGGTTAGCCAAAAAATAGAGTCTTAGTCGGCACACTAACGTGCAAATTACAATAAAGCTCGAACGATCGCAAGATCAACCACGAGCAATAACATAGTACTGGTGGCATTTTCTATTAATATAAGTTTGAAGTTTTATTATAGAAGTTTGCATCTTTTCACACTGAGGAATAATTTTTATTTAGACTATCACATATTATAAGCGATTTATTTAGTGTATTGCAATGGTACCCAGGATTCTCTCGAATATGATGCAGGATATTGCAGATAGGTTCTGCTCACATCGTCAAACGTAATGCCGTCCACAGTTATCGAAGTGCTCTCCACATTTGTATAATTCACGATGCTTCGAAGAGGCGTGTTCAAGGCGTGAGACTGTTGGTGCGATCGTAAACTGGTAATCACAGGGAACTGTCTTTTGCATATGTTACAACGATGAACTCGTTCGCCTAAAAAAAGACCTTCGTTAATCTATGCAGATTTAGATGGCATAAGGATCTATAATACATTTATCGCATTTTTGAAATATACGATTTTTAAGTTACACTGTAGTTGCTAAGTTGCCTGAATTTCTCTTGTGCTTAGGATATTATTCCATTTGAGCAACCAATATTTAAACCTAAAATTTTTGTATTGTGCGTTCCTCCGCTAGCTTCAACTACTGAATATGATTCTTGTACTCAACATTGCATCGTTTTGTAATCAAATCTATCGAACATGTGTTCACAAAAAGGAACAATTGAAGCTGCACTACCTCGATATTTAAGTACTGACATTTTAACTAAAATGTGCTATGAACTTTTATTCACAGCGGAGTTGGGCAAAATTTTATTCGGATGGCTGATAAAAGATAAAGAATACCGAAGAAAATTTGATTCGATACTATGGATTAAATATTCGATCGAATAAAAGTG